ATGCTTTCTGAATCTCAATTCATCATCTGTAAAATTATAATTATAATAACATGGGGTAATAATAACGACTACATGTTATGGCATAATATATGAAAGTGTCTAAGCACATAGTAGACATTCAAGAAATATTTATTATCGTCATCATTATTATTATAATTAGTCACTGTCATTTGATTCAATATTTTTCTCTCCCATTTTTTTCCATTCTGTACATTACTAACATCAAAGTTTTGCATGTATTATCTGCTGTAACTTTCCTGCATATTTGTTTCCTCTAAGTGATTTTTTATTTTTAGAGAGGTTTTTGCCACAGAGCATGTGCATTTGCCAGAGAGAGACCGAGAGACAGAAAGTGAGAAATCATCCCCCAGAGGGGATGTCCATACCACAATCCCTTTTCCTCCATTCTCCTCTTGGGATCTTCAGTGAGCATGCACGCTCACGCGCGTGGCATGAGTTTAAGCCACCAGGTCAGGGACTTGAACCACAGTTGACTACATAGGAGTCCAGCAACATAGCCATTACACCAACTGCTGGTCCCCCTCTAAGTGATTTTTTAATCTCTACAACTTTTTTCCTCTTCATTTGACTTGACTGTCTACAGTCTGAACTTACTGTTACTGTCTTGATATTTTGCCCCATTAACTTTCTTGCTTTTTAAAATTTATTAGTTTATATAAATATTGCATTGCCTTCTTTTTCTTCTTTTTAATCCCTTGTTTATCACCTCATCTTGACCTTTTGTTTTATCATCAAGATTTTTTGGCAAAAATAAATTCTTATGGAACATTTTAATTTATCCTGAAATATCTTTTTTTCAATAGAAGAATATTATTTTTGTCTCTTTTTTTTGGGGGGGGAAGGTTTTTGCTATAGGGCCAGACAGACAGAGACAGAGAGACAGAAAGCGAGAAATCATCCCCCAGGGGGGATGGCCATGCCGCAATCCCTTCTCCTCCATTCTCCTCTTGGGATCTTGGGCACGCACGCACATGTGCCCGGCGTGAGTTTTAAGCCACCGGGTCCGGGACACAAACCGCGGTTGACTACGTGGAAATCCAGCAACATAGCCATTACACTAACTTCTGGTCCCTCCTCTCTTTGTCTTTCTACTGAGTGCACATGCCCTATAGCAAAGTAACGTAGTCAACAGAGAGCAACCAGACATAACCGGTATACAGGCTGGTCAGCCACCTCCTCGTCCCCACAATTATGTGGCCTTTCTTTTCTTGAGAGAGATTTTTGCTATAGGGCACGTAGGCTCACCAGAAAGACAGAAACAGGAAGTGCAATCACCCTCCGGGTGGATGGCCACACTTCAATCCCTTCTCCTCCAGTTTCCTCTCAGGCTTTTGAGAGGAAAACCTCTCACACACACAAGCCCAACATGAGTTTCAAGCGCCCAGGACCGGGACTCAAACCACAGTCGACCATATGGGAGTTCAGCACCTTAACCACTATGCCACCTGTTGGCCCCTGGCCCTTATTTTTTTCTGTACTCCGTGTTGGTCCATTATTATTTTTTTTTTAATTATTCATTCATTCATTTATTTAATCCCATTTGCTATTATTACTTTTTTACAATTTCACCAGAGAGAGAGAGAGAAAAGGAAAGTGAGAAAGCAAGCCGCCCGGTCTAAGCCTTGTACCACGGTCGGCCATATGGGAATCCAATGCCCTTAACCAACACACCATCTGCTGGCCCCACATGGGTTCATTATTTAAGAATGGTTTTTTCTTTTTTTTTTTCGTTTTTGTTTTCTATAGAGTGCATGTACTCACTAAAGAGAGACAGAAAGAGTGAAAGTGAAACAGCATCCCCAGAGGGGGATGGCATCGCTGCCATCTCTTGTCCATTCTCCCCTCAGGACTCTGGGCACACATACACATGTGCTTGGTGTGTTTTCCAACCAAGCAGTTGGCCATGTAGGATCCAGCTGCCCTAACCTCCATGTTACTGTCTTGTCCTACATGCTTTATCTTGACATAGATGTGGCTATCGGGTTTTCCCATTTGCGCAAATCAAGCTCGTGTCGATTTCTCTTGATTGTCCTTGCAGTAATACTAGCACTGCTTAGGTGTCTCTGTAGAGCCTCAGTTTGTGTTGGCTGTTGATTGTTTCTGTTTCATTTTTCTATAGCCATCACATTCCCTATGAATTTGGACACAAAGGAGAGAAATTGTCTGTGGGTTTCTGAATACCTCTATCTCTCCACTTCTCTAACACATTTCAAAACTGTACTCAGTTAAACATGCTTTCTGTTTCTTCCTCATTTAGGGAGGAGGGACTACAGTCTATGTACATACTTGTGTATGTATTTGTGTGTATGTGTGTGTCCTGGCACATTCTCATATGGTTTTAATAGGTACCTACACCATAGCAGAACTTTACTAAGGTACAACCTAGCCATATAGATCATCATTTTGAGAGAACATAGTTTTGGACCCACAAATTCCACTTTAAATATGGTGGAAATCAGTCGTGTACAAACATGTCAGCAATATGATACTTACTTAAGAGTTGTTTATAATGTAAAAGCACTTAGAAACAATGGAAACATCTAACAATAGGTGCATGGTAAATAAATGTTAGATAAATTATGTTATGCACATTTAATAAAATATTTTATAGTTATTAGACATTATGTATAATTATACTTAGAGCTATGAAAAGGTAAGAGGAAAATAATATATAGAATAGTGGACTATGGTTATTTATATAAAAGTGTGTCACTATGAGTGATAAAGAGCAATGCTAATACTTACATCTGTATGTGGAGGTATTGGTGATTTTCACTGCCCTTTGTATATATTTTTGAGAATGATAATGAATTAATTTCATAATCAGAAAAAAGTAATAGAGCTAAAAAGAAAAAAATGTAGAAGGGTGTGCATTCCCTACAGCCATCTCCAGAATAACAGCAACTATCAGGTCATTGGAAAAATTATGGTTTTTGTTTGTTTGTTTGTTTTTTAATATTTTTCTATGTAAAAATGTGTCATGACTTTTCTGATGACCCAATATTATTGCATGCTCTTTGCTGATGCTGTATAGGCCCTTAATGTAATCATATTACTTAATTCTTTCAACAGCTTCATAAGGCAAAAGTTAATGTTTTCTGTTTTCTGTGGAGGAACCTTTCTAATGATTAAACATTTCCAGTGTCATGTAGCTTATAAAAGACAATACCTGCATGTGAACCTAATTCAATCTGACTCTAAGCTCCACCAATCTTCCCAGTGCCTCTTGGGATAGTTAACATACATTTTGTTGTGTATAGGTAACAGACATAATAAAAACTAATTATTTGAACTTTTGATTATTATTCCTTTATACTCTTGGTATGAACTTAAAAGAGGACTGAAAGGACAGAATAAAGACATACCCAACAGAGAATAATATAAAAGCAGAAGATTATAAAATTCATTTTTAAATGTAAATCATTGAACATTCTCTTAAAGATAATAGTTTATGAAACAGGAAGCGTTCTTGACAAACTAGATACCAAACCATAAGAAAAGAGGATATTAACCCTTTCAAGTCATCAACTGAACGATTTAATACACCAAACAGGCTTATTTTCTCAAAATATCCCCAGGGTCAAAGGAGATTCTAAATTTTTATTTGGTTTTACCCAGGCATAGAGTGTGCTTTGACTTTGGTTTTTAAAAATATAATATCCTTCAACCACTTTCATCATAAATTCCAACTCTAACCTTTGTACATTTTTTTCCTTCTATATGATTGACATTCTTCTTAGAATACTGCCTGATCTAATTGGTCTACTTTAATTTTGACAAAAGTAGCTACAGTTAAAAAAATAACAGTAGCAACAACATAAATGAGATAACCTGAAAACATAGACACAGTAGCAATAATTGGAATACTTCCTATCAGGTCTAAGATAGTGATGAACAAAGTTTCTATTATCTCTTCTCCTGGAATCTGTTACCCTTTATCAGACTTCTTTACTATAGAACTCAATAAGTAATGATGTAAAAAAGTAACAAAATACCAAAACAAGGTAATGACTTAATAGGTTATCCATTCTTGTCCTCAACCCCTAAGACAACAACAATGAAATATCAAGGATTTCAGAGTCAGAGCACTAAAATTAAAGGACAGCATGATACTTAGAAGATACACTAATGGAACTTTATCTGGCATCAAGTCCTCATAGGAAGGATTCAGAAACATTCAATATAATTCACTGCCTTGACAACATACAGATACGAAAAAACTAGAGATGGACATGTGGTGGATGAATAGGTAGAACAGTGACAATATACATCAGAATCATCATCCTGCAATTTAGAGGGCAATAAAAATGATTTGCCAATCAAGATCGCAAACGCGAAGATTCAGAATGTAAATACTAAGTGTTAGATGAAAATAGACTGTCTTTGAAGTTCACCTAAGAGTTTTGAGGAGAAACATTCTCAATTGTTGCCTCTTATCTATCATCATAAGAGTGCTGTTACTATGTATTTATAAGTAAGCAATGACAAAGTAACAAGGACTTGATGCAAGTATAACATTCTAAGACACAAATTAATAACCTAAGACAGAAAATATGGGTCCCTGAATTCTGAGCCAACCAATTAGAAGAGATGTTTTATTCTTTACGTACTCAACTAATCAAAAATACAAACAAAACCCCCACAACAACAAAACTAAGAAATGCCAGAGTAAATAACGACACTCTATCCTCTCAATATGAGTGAAAAGGAATCTCAAAATAGAATCTACTTGGTTTCCTTCTCTGGCCACAACCATGATTCCTGAATAAACAGCTAGGTTCGCCACAGCTATTTAAACAAACGAATGCAGGAAAACCCTCTAAGATTTTATGGAAACATACAACTTATTCCCAAGTCTCTATGGATTCACATCCATAGGTTATCTGCAAAGACCCCATACATTATTGTTAAAGGGAACAACTAAACAAATTGGTTTCAACAGAAATACAAGTAAATGGATTAAAAACTGGCTATCTAACCGTATACAGAGAGAAATCGTAATTGGTAGTCCGTCTAGTTGGGGAGAGGTTTCCAGTAGGGTCCCACAAGGATCGATATTGGGTCCCATTTTGTTTAATATCTTTATAAAAAATCTGGAAGACAAAGTAGAGAATGTGCTAATTAAGTCGACTGATGCCAGTAGATTAGGACTGGGGGTTAAAGTCAATTGGATATATAGAGAATTGCTACTGGTCTTTAGAAGGCACGAGGAAAGACCAATGCTAACAGAAAATGAGAATTTGAGTAACTTGTTTTTAAAAAATGTATTATTTTTTTTAATAAAAAGTCTAATTTAAGCAGTAGAAATAGATTTAAAAATTCTTAGTGGCTTTACATTACAAAAGATTAGGCACAACAGAAAACTATAACATAGAGAGTCATAACACCCATGAATGCAGAATAAAGAACATCATCAAATAGAAATCCCTCTGGTGCAGTTTTATGTAGCAAATGTGAGACTGAGGGCCTTTCAGTAGAATCAAAATATTGGAGGCATTCCATACACACAAGAATCAAGGTGGCAAAAAGGCAGGGATGATTATATTCTCAAGTACACACATTCAGCAATTGGCCAGAAAAATTAACAGGAAAATAACATAAAGGTTAAAAGAAAAAGGGAGATTGGAAAATAGAAAAGTATGAGGAAGATTAGTGGGTGAAACCAATCAAAAACAAATCCTATTAGAAAACACACACACACACACACACATACACACACACACAACCTCCCCTCTCCCAATACACACACGCGAATTGAAGAATGCAGGGATAATAGTAAGGGCCCTCCCACCTCTAGGATAAAGATTATGTTTTTTTGAACTACTCTAGAAGATACATGGGAAGAAATATTTGGTAGACTTCACATGGATATGAAGTCCTTTTCAAAAAACCTTATTTTACAACATAAAGACAACTGTGACACTGATCCTTGCTTGTGGACTTTCATATGCAGGCGGGTAAGATTTTTTTGGGTGAAGTTAACTGAACTGAACCTGTAGACTGATATGGAATCATCATCTTGATTTTATTTTCTCTTGTCATTTACTAGCATGGAACAATGTACACTGGATAAGACTAGAAAAAAGTCAAACCATATCTCAAGACTTTGAACTGGCTAATTCACCTTCACGAGTCTTAGTTTTTCATCAGTTCAATGGTAGTATAGAAACAGTCTTAAGAACTGAAGAGTTTCTTCTTAAAATAAAAATATAAGGGAAATTAATACAGAAAAATATTATTGGAGCCCCATGGGGCTCCCACTTGGTCAAGTTTTCCATTTTCATCCCTCTGCAACCTCAGGACAGAGCACAGCTTAAAAGTCAGTTTAGGTGATCCAACATTCTGCCTCTATCTCTAGGAAATTATTAAAGGGAAGTGAAAAATTCAGTCCCTCTCCTAGCAACTGAGTTTTTCAGAGCTACAACAATATGTAGCTGATTATATGTGCCCAATTGTGAAAAAAAAAATACAGACTTCAAAATTACAGTTGAAGAGAAGGATATTCATAATAGAAAAGAGTGTCATTATCCATGATGAGAGATCAAAGAATGTACCACATAATCAGAACCCAATGTGGAACTCCTCTATCCTTTCATGCTGGGTTAAAAAAGAAACCAAGGGAATCTAGAATGTTAGGTGGTCATCTTTTTGTTTTAATCTAGATGGCAGATTGCATTCTGCTACAAGAAATAATTGATACAATTTGAAGTAGTTGGTTTTCTATAGTTGATACAACTAATATCCACTGAAAAATGACTTTTTCTTGCTGTGACTATAAAAGTGGTGACATAAAACCTTCCTCTCGGTGTGATTCTGTCCTTTAGAAGTGTGACTGCATCCAGCATGAGAATGTTGAACACACAAGCAAGCATCTCCAATAAGCCTGGAGGCTCTAAAGTTAGTTTTATAAAGCAATAATGCCTACAATTTTTATATTTTACTATTTAATTAATATTTACAGAGTGCTTACCACATACTGTAGACTATGTTATCCTCTTTACACATTGTCATAATGGTCTTTATAATAAACTTATGAGAGAGGAATTAGCCCATTTTACAGATGAGGAAACTAAATGGCTGGAGAGACTGATTTCTTTTTTCAAATCTATTGTCACACAGCTATTACACGGAAGGATAAAGCTTGCTTGAATTTGACAGATCCTAAAATATTTGTTCAGAATTCCCATTATAAATGATGATTTCTGATACCTTTATTGTTACCCATGCCTATCAAAGAAAATGGAGAAACTACTTTTGATGAAGTAATAGGAACAGGACAAGCATATGTTAAAAGCAGGGAGTTGGACACCAGGATGCACATGTCTTTCTACGGAGAGGTTCTCCTGCACACTACTGGATGTTCTGAGCTTCTGGGGCCTTTGCATGTTAGATATCGGTAGCAACTGCATTCCATAACTTTTACAACCAAAAATGTCTTTGGGCATTGCCAAAAATCCTTAAGTATACAAAGTCACTTGTTTTCAGAATAGCTAAAAGATCTAACACTAGAAGATCTCATCGTCTATCATCTGAATTGTGGGATCATGTTTAGCCAAGAGAGCTTTTCACTACAATGGTGAACTTACCTAGTGAACCTTTTTCTACCTCCAGCTCAGTACAATTGAATTTAGAACTATCTGAAGCTCTCCAGGTTCCAGTTTGTATAAAATTTCCACACTTCAGGTTTTAAATTTATCATTTAAATGCAAATTGGTACCAAAAAATAGGGAAGATGAAAGTGCAAAGAGATCAGATATTATCTTATTAAGTCAGTCTTGCATTATGCAATTGATTTAGACTCATTTCAAACTGCAGTCCTATGAGACAGTTTTATTTATTCATTCTCTTTTCTGGATGAAGGCTACTATACCAGAAAAATCATAAAGTGGGTTTACAAAGAACTCTCTCATTTGACAACCTGAGAGAGACAAAATGGTAAGAAATTATGATGGATTCCTGTAAGTAAAATATTGGGCATGAGAAATTGATAATATTATAGGTGCTATGGTTTATTGGCTTCTAAGGCCCATACTTAAAATGTGCATTATGACAAATATCACCATTAGACAGAGATGTGCCTTGGATGAGAGAATAGTTTAAAGCCAAGTATCAGACATATGGAAAACATTATCAAGTTGGAAGCTTCCATAGGGCTTGCTCCAAATAAAATCAAATGATGGACACTATTTAAAGTATGCTAGCCTTGGACTTAAATTGAAGATAAAGATAACAAAATGTCAATGAAATGATTGATTCTTGTCATGGGTAATAATTCCAGATGATTTAAAAGGATTACTGTTTTCCTAGTGTTATGACTATGAACTACTAATTGAATCCCATGTTATACACTGATTTATAAACACTATTTAGGACAGATATAAGAATAAGACTTTGTTTTGTCTATTTTAAAGATTCTAAATTTAGGATATGCAAAATGCATATACAAATACTGTTTAATGAAGAAAGTTCTAGAACAGGAACCCCCATGAAGTCACATTTGGAAGTAAAGAGGGCAGGCTTCAAAAACCTGCTGCCAGAACCCTCAAAGTGCGGATTTTCAATCTTGGTTGAAGATGAGAATAATCTTGTAAGAATTATAATGCCCAGGCATACCCTAGGACCTTCATGTCAGAATTTCTGGGTGACAGACCCTTTAGCATGTTACGATTCTTTGAAGGTCATTCCATGGGGTACCCAAGGTTGAGAACTCAACCTAAAGAATAGACAGTGTATTATTGTGCAGGGATTATCTTACTACACTGGCCTTAAGCAAGATGGTGACCTCATGTAACCAAATGCTTCAATGATAAGTGGTTTTTATGCAAGGCATTAAGTGTCCCTCAAGGAGAAATTATTCCTTCTCTTACACATCTCTTTCTAACCTCCGATTACTTCAAGTAGAAGCTCTCAGTTTGCTGCTAGTGAGTCTTTAACACATCTCTTATTTGCTTGTCTCTATTTTAAATAAAAAACAATGCAGTCATGTATTCAGAGCCTTGTAGTATGGCCTAGAATTTAATAACAGTATTTACTTGATGATTAATATTCTGATTTAAGGTTATCCTCCAGAAAGTAATACTAATTAGAGTGACAAAAAGAATTGAAATAAAGTGAGTAAATTTTTTAAATATGTAAAGTAATTAATAGTGGACATTACACTCATAGGTGGAAAAATCGTGAAAGTGGTTCTCAGATGATTAACAGTTGAGTAACCCTGCAGCTAATGGAAAGGGTATCTAAATCGTGTGACATGAGTTATGGTCCATAGTGCCTCCATCACTAATTATGTAGGTGATTGGGTGAAATGACCCATTTTCTTCCTCAAGCCTTGGTTTCCTCATTTGTCGTCCAAGGCCATTCACCTATACCATTAGCATTCTTCTATGAGTTTAAGCAGAAGGAGGGCTTGCCCTCGGAATTTACCTTGTTGACATCCAGGCGCATTTTCTCATTGTTGGCACTTGCAGCCTTCTCAGCTGCTTTCTTTTGGCGTTGGGGTCCCCTCCCAAAGAAGATGTAGTTGACCAACGCATATTCCAGAAGGGCCATGAATACGAAGACAAAGCACCCCATCAGGTACATGTCAATGGCCTTCACATAGGGGATTTTAGGAAGAGTTTCCCGGAGGTGGGTGTTGATTGTGGTCATTGTCAGGACAGTTGTGATTCCTGAAAAAAAAACGAGGTCATTAGAGTAGTAATGCTGCTATTCCCTTTCTGCTCTCACGACAATAGAAAGGTTGACTGGACTCATTTATTCCTTTATGTACACCACGACATATTTACTGGGCAGCCATGATAGTATATATTGGGTCATCGGGAAAGTCATGACACATTTTCACATTAAAAAAACATAGAAAAATGCACCGTGATTTTCCTGACGACCTACTATTATATATATGAGGCCTGCGATAGTCCCTGGAGATATGCATAAATTAACATACAGTGAACATCAATTATTTTGAAAAATTTTCTCTAATTATATTTTTATATCTATAGTTCTATAACTAGTGAGGGCTAGAGCTGTGAATTTAATGCTATGATAGACAAGCCATTACACTCATAGGTGGAAAAATCGTGAAAGTGGTTCTCAGATGATTAACAGTTGAGTAACCCTGCAGCTAATGGAAAGGGTATCTAAATCGTGTGACATGAGTTATGGTCCATAGTGCCTCCATCACTAATTATGTAGGTGATTGGGTGAAATGACCCATTTTCTTCCTCAAGCCTTGGTTTCCTCATTTGTCGTCCAAGGCCATTCACCTATACCATTAGCATTCTTCTATGAGTTTAAGCAGAAGGAGGGCTTGCCCTCGGAATTTACCTTGTTGACATCCAGGCGCATTTTCTCATTGTTGGCACTTGCAGCCTTCTCAGCTGCTTTCTTTTGGCGTTGGGGTCCCCTCCCAAAGAAGATGTAGTTGACCAACGCATATTCCAGAAGGGCCATGAATACGAAGACAAAGCACCCCATCAGGTACATGTCAATGGCCTTCACATAGGGGATTTTAGGAAGAGTTTCCCGGAGGTGGGTGTTGATTGTGGTCATTGTCAGGACAGTTGTGATTCCTGAAAAAAAAACGAGGTCATTAGAGTAGTAATGCTGCTATTCCCTTTCTGCTCTCACGACAATAGAAAGGTTGACTGGACTCATTTATTCCTTTATGTACACCACGACATATTTACTGGGCAGCCATGATAGTATATATTGGGTCATCGGGAAAGTCATGACACATTTTCACATTAAAAAAACATAGAAAAATGCACCGTGATTTTCCTGACGACCTACTATTATATATATGAGGCCTGCGATAGTCCCTGGAGATATGCATAAATTAACATACAGTGAACATCAATTATTTTGAAAAATTTTCTCTAATTATATTTTTATATCTATAGTTCTATAACTAGTGAGGGCTAGAGCTGTGAATTTAATGCTATGATAGACAAGCGTGTAAAGAAAGTGTTGGTGATGTGGCAAAGACCCTCGTTCAGCTCTGTGATATGACAAGAAAAAGATCAGGAAATGGAGACTTTTAAGCTGATTCCTGCAGAACAGGAATTATTTGGGCAACAAGGGACTGGAGGTAAAACATTATGGTAGGGGACTGGATGTTATGGTGGAGCTAAGGGACGCAGTGGTGAATAAATTACATAGTCCCTAAAATATCTCAAGAAAATCACTGTGAATACATTACTAGACCGAATTGTGAAAAGAGTGGAGATTAAGTAAGGGCTGCATAATGGGAGCCAAATATGCTCCTAGAAGGAAGTTTGAACTTAAAATTGAAGCCAGTGGGGACTCAGCTTCAAGCAGAGAGGCATGTGGACAAAGTGTATTTAGGACAATCACTGATAGCCATGTGGAAGGTCAGAGAGAAGCTACCGAATACTACTAGCTAACAAGTTTTCAGAACGGTCCAAGTAAATGATGGAGAGAAAATAAATTAAAATAATGGCAATATTACTGAATGCCTAAAGTCACTGAATACATTCTACAGATGATATAGATGAATGACTGCAAAAATGTAGAAACTGGAAGTGGAGAGTAACAGAGAAGCAGTCTAGCTCTCATGTTTCTGAGCTGGACAATTAGGTATCTAATGCTCAGATAAATAACATGGAAGGATTACAAGAGTCTTTATGGGAAATGCCACACTGGGTCAGGCTGTAATTGTTCATCCAGTTGAGTATCTCAGACAGTGGGGAGTAGTTTCTCTCAGAGCTGTAATTGGAAGTTAAAAGCTTTGGAAGTCCAGAGTCCTGAGTATGATAAAGTACAGTTTTGTAGCAAATAGTGATTTGAAAGTAGAAAAAAAGCTCAGAGGTCATGATCACACAGATGGAAAGTTGTGGAGTCACTGTTAGAACCAGGAGCTTTCTGACTTAGGAACCTGTACTCTTAAATGCTATTGAATAACACAACCCAGAAATTAAATTTCTCTATGATATTTTGTGAGGGGAGATAATTTTATCATTTAATTTTGTTCATCTAACAATTACATCATAATTTTCATTTTGTTTGTATAATCCTTAAAAAATAGTCATAGGGAAAATAAACTTGAGCATCTGATTCTGAGCATGCCCATACAAGCCTTGGTCTTGTTTTAGATGTAGGTGTCTCACAAGTCTCGTGTCTTTTCTATATTAGTCACTTTGAAATATTTTCCAATTTCATTTTTCTCTTCATAATTTTAATTATAGGCTATCCCCTACTCTGTATATATAATAAAATTGAGAATGCCAGTTTAACTATATGTCTAAAATGCATATTAAGACATTTCTAAACCCAATAATATGTTGCTCGCATAAAAAAGACCTTTACAATTTTTCTTAAAAGTCAGTAAGTTATTATTTTTTTCTGTAATAGGCATAAAATATACCAAAGATTTTAACTTGGGGAAAATAAGATCTTAACTATTTTTATTCTTAATTCAGAAAATAATTTTCTGAGCCCCATTCCCATCACAGATATGAGACGAATATGAACCTTTCCCCACGGGGTCTTTCAGTGCTGCGGAGGAAAGCGACATCATATAACTAAACGAATGAGAACTGTAAGTGTGGTTAGTCTGTCCGAGGGGGTCTATGGTATTGTAAGAGTGCACATCACAGCAGCTTGACTCAAGCCCTTCCATCCTGAGCCACCACAGTCTAAACACAGCAGCCAAAGTGCTCCCTTGAAAACTAAAATCAAATCATGTCTCTTCTTTGCTCAATAGCTCTTGATTTTACTCAAAATAAGAGCAAAGCCTCAACCATGGCTTAGGAGCCTCTGTATGATCTTTTAGTCCCTTCTCAATATTTTCTTTCCTACTCACCTTAAACTAATTCTACATTGGCCTCCTTGGCTTCCTGGTGACATATTTGGTTTGTTCCTACCTCAGGGCCTTTGCAGTAGCCTGGAATGTTATTGCTCAGTTATCTATTAGGTCATCAGAAAAGTCATGACATATTTTTATATGATTTTCTCCTCAAAAATGCATCAAGACTTTTCTGACATCCAATACACGACTCATCTTTTTAAAGGTTTTTGGAGGGGCTACAGGGCCCAAAGACAGAGACAGACAGACAGAAAGCAAGAAATCACCTCCTAGGGGGATGGCCACACTGCAATCCCTTCTCCTCCATTCTCCTCTGGGGATCTCGGGTATACATGCACACATGTTCAGCTTGAGTTTAAGCCACCGGGTCTGGGACTCGAACCGTGGTTGACTACATGGGAGTTCAGCGACATAGCCATTACACTAACTGCTGGCCCCTGCCCTGATTCTTCTAAATCACATCATATGGCATTCTCAAGCCTCCCTACCTCCTTGATGTTTCTCTATAGAGTGATCACAGTACATGATTTGCATTGATATTAACTTTATCGTTTATCTTCTATAGAATACAAGTTTAAGAAGGAAACTGCTGTATTTACCAGTGCCTGCTGTAGTTTGCAAATAATACCCAAGAAATAGTTGTTGAATGAATAACACTATAATTCTTCTAAGAAAGTAACAATTTAATTGAGATCTCCTGGTGAAGAAGTTAACAATGTGTGCCTCTTAAAATAAACAGTCAGAACTCAATAATACACAGAATTCCCTGTGTAGACTCAACACAGTTGTAATGCATATTTACTTAGTTATATGATGGTCTTTTCCCTCACAGTATTGAAATATTTCCTGGGTAAAGTTTCATTATCTGGTGTAAAATGACACACTTTTACTTCACTTGGAGTTAACAAAAACATTTATAAAATATAATGTATTCTCCTAGTCCGGTGTGATAGCAGGAAAAAAAAAATCTGGCATAAGATGAATAATGCCATAGATAATTTCCCATCAGTCTTTTATTGTCTCCAGCATTCTCCAAGGCTAGTCCAAAATGTTAATATGACTTTTGATTCCTTTCTGCTTATCCATTTGCTACACCCCACATCTCTCTGTCTCTAACTCGGGAAAAATAAAAAGGTAAGTGCTTTTTATTCTCAGGAAAAGAAGTACAGATACAAATTGAGCAATTATGCAAGCTACGCTACATGAAATATGCTTCAATAAAAATATCTAACTAATGGGACTAATTTCATTACTAAGAGCTATACAGTTAACTAATTTTGACATGGAAGAGTTTTAATTTGTGCTTAATTGATTTAATGCTAAATTAGATCCCCCAAAGTCTCATGGCTGAACTTGTAATATGAAAGGTCCAGTCTCATCATGCATCACAAATTTCAAGATGGGAAAAGTGTGTGTGCATGGCTGCATGCGTGCACGAACACACACACACACACACACACACACACACACGCAGACACACACACACACATGCACACAGAGTCAAATTCCATAAGCATTTGCATTTAGAAAATGGCCTACCTAATGCCACTCTTGCAGCTGAAGCATCATAATTAATCCAGAAAGAGACCCAAGAGAGGATTGTAATCAGGATGGAAGGCATGTAGGTTTGCAGGATAAAGTAGCCAATGTTCCTCTTAAGTTTAAAGCTGAGAGACAATCTGGGGTAGGAACCTAGAAAGGCACATTGAAAACATCATTATTATCGATCAATATTTATAGATTTCCTTTAAAGGTCAAAAACAGTTTGTCATCAACTATAGATTCGATTTTAGCTCTTGGAGAAGGACACTTTCTTTTGCTAAAATAGTCTAAGAACACTGGGTTTTTACTTAGCAGGAGTTACTCAGTGTGGAATACATTCTGTACTCACAGGTAATTAAAAGTATTCCAGCTCTCCTCTGCTCAGCCTCACAAACTGGATCAAAGATACGCATCCTCTGCAATTGTGATGACGAGACAATTTGGAACAGACCCTCTGTTCACTTTCTCCAGTTTTTCCTCAGTAAGTTCATCTTATGAGTTTTGTCTTATACAATAATAAGGTTGTCTGTTCTGATCATAGTAAAAGACATTTCTTCACAAGCTACAGGGTGTGTTTCAAGTCTTCGATCAATGGCGAAGGTTCAGGGCATGCAGATTTGTGTAGGTTTCATGTATATGCATTTTTTTTTCTTAATAGTTTTACGGCTTCCATCAGAGTTCTGGAGGAATCTCTGACCTACTAACATGTGGAAATCATTGCTTTTGAGTAGTAATTGTGGGAAATACAACTAAGGGATCAACTTCCTAAAGCTGGGTCTTTTGACTCGTGCTCTGGAGAATTACTCCTTTAGTAAGATATGTAACAGAGCATAGTCTTAGAATATAAAAAGTTAACACTGATAAACAGCAGAAAGAAGGATATTCTCATTGTTTGAAAGAAAGCCTTGTCTAGTCTTTTTGGGATAAAGCAAGCATCTTAAAACAAAAGGAAGACTATTTTAAGTAAGAACTCATTTACATAGAATTTTAAGGATTTAGAGCACCTTGAACTTAGAAAAAAAAAGTTTCTATTTTTCTTCTTTCTTAGAGCTAGAGGCAATTTTGTATTTTTACAGTTACCACTCTGGCTCTTACAGGGACACAAAATGTCTGAATCCTTAGCTGAAAGGCAATTACAGTATTGGCTACTTCTGTGCTGGCAGGAATTACCTCAATAAGAAAAACAAAAACAATAATCCTGTGGGTTTCCCATTTTCTTCTTTAAAGAGTGTCTAGCAAATTATTACTCTCCTGGAATTGTTAGCATTATTATTGCTATAAAAAATGTGCAGATTGTGTTGATGAGATCAGATCTGCAGGCAGTGTAGATCTCAGTGCTGGAAGGACAAAGATGGGTAACCTCATCAGGATAACCTCAACACCTGAAAAGCTTTTAGCTCAAACTGCAGGTGAAACTGTGTGAAGAAAAATGTTCTCTGAGGAAAATGAGAAATGTTCCTACCCTACATCTTTAGATAACTTTGCGGTGACCAGACTTGAGTGCACTGTAACTGGGCTATCTCCTGTATGTTTCAAAGAGTTCTGATCAATTATACAGAATGCATCAAGTTGGGAGACAACACTGACATAGGCCCACATTTTCCTTTCTGTACTCTACCTCTAAAAATTAGTCTCTTTTTGGCAAATCAGAGGCATTGCAAGGGGTACCTTCTGGAAACCAAGTGGGTTAGGTGCCATATGGAGCAATGGTATGGGTGGAAAACTGGTGTTTGAGCAGACTTAAGTCTTCGGCAGTTACTATCTATCCTAAGACAAACCCTGATATAAGTAAACTTTTTTTTTTTTTGACAAAATATGATGAAGATCTTTTTCCCTTAACTCTCTTCTCTGATACAAACCTGTGGAGAAAACAACCTTCTTGGTGATAAGTTTGTAATCTACAATAGAGAACTGTGGGAGCTCAATCTTTGTTACTCCTGTTACTGCATTATCGTCCCCGCGCCAGTAAAACTCAATGTCATCAGTCGTATATCCATCTGCAAAAGGAAACACACACGCACGCACAAGTAACACAGAACAGATGACAAAACAGAAAGAATATCTGTTTAGAAGATGAACTATGTACACATAATATAAACCTACAACTGAAATCTATCATTTGTTAGGTACCACGATAAGCATTTGAAATTTAGCATAATACTTAATCTTCAGAACAATCTCATGAGACAGGTATACTTTGATCCTCATGAAGCCACAGAGGCTTAGAGAAATTAACAACATGCACTATCTTATAACTAGGAAGTGATACATTATTAGTTGGGATTTGAATCCAGGTTTATCTCATTATGAATCTCATTCTACCAAACATTATTATGTAACATCACATATCATGAATGGTGCTCTTTTCTTTTCTTCTTTTCTTTTCTCTTTTCTTTTCCTTTTGGAGAGGTTTTTGCTATAGGGTGTGTGCACTCACCAGAAGGACATAGGGAGACAGACAGACAGAAAGTTAGAAATTACCCCCTGGGGGGATGGCCATGCTGCAATCCCTTCTCCTCCATTCTCCTCTTGGGATCTTAGCCACACACGACATGCACCCAGTGTGGGTTTAAGCCACTGGACGCGGGACTCAAACCACAGTCAACTACATGGAAGTCCAGCGACATAGCCACTATGCCATCTGCTGGTCCCACATGAATTGTATTCTAAGAGAATACCAAAGAAGAAATAAAGTCATTTACATTGTCAGTTTAGTACTGAATGCTATCAAATCTTCTCCCTCTATAATATAGAATATTTGAATTATGATGTATTTGGGTTTCAAGTAGAAAGAGAAGTGATTATGAAGAAATAATGGTTATGTCACTGGACTCCCACGTAGTCTACTGTGATTCAAGTCCTGGACTTGGTAGCTTAAAACTCACATCCAGGTGCATGTGTCTGCATGACCAAAATTCTGAGAGGAGAATGGAAAAGAAGGGATTATGATGTGGCCATAGCCTCTGCAAGAGGATGTGGGATGTAGGAGGGTGATTTCCCACTCTGTCTTTCTGTCTCCCTTTGTCTCTCCAGCAAGTGCAAGAGCCCCATAGCAAAAACCACTCCATCAGAAAAAAAGGCAAAAAATAAGCAAAAATAAAACTCTAAACAACATTAATCATTAATTCCAATAGTTTTAAGGAGTAGTATAAATATATGATACATTTTCTACTGGCACAGTTAGGAGAATGGTTCCATTCATTCAACAATAATTGATTGAACATCTACTATATGCAGCAATGTACAGTTGCTAGACATAAGATTGTATATAATTAGGACATATTCCCTGATAAATGGTACTTTCAATTCATAGAGCAGAGTTTTAAACACATCTATTTTCCTAAGAAATAAGCAAATTTATAACTATAATGGATAAGCATATATTAGATTGTAAACACAGAGAATATGTAAAAATCCAATATTTACAATATTTTATAAACTTGCCCACTCACCAAAATTCCCCAGATAAAAAGATATACATTATCTTTGTATATACTACATGTTAAAAATACTACATTTATCTCTTCAAATAATTGTATCTGGATAGTTAAATTTTTTTAAGTCAAGGAGATGGGCAGATAGTAACTGCTTTCTCAGTTTCAAAAGCACAAAAACAAATTTAAAACACTACATAAATTATTGGATCATAGGAAAAGTCATGACATAACTTTTCTATGAAAAAATGCATCATGACTTTTCTGAAGATCCAATATTTGCCTTTTGACATATGGCTAGTTACTATGACATGGATGACTAGAATGCCAATCCTTTGACTTAAATTATTTTCAATAAACCACCTCTCTTTTCTCTAAAGAGAGGGAGTTGAAAATCTATTTTTAAAAAAGGTTGAAATAAATTATTCTCTCAAAGAACTAGAATCCCCTCAATTTTAGAACTTACATAACCACAGCACAGCTTAGGCAATGACTTTACTTTTCTAGAAATCTGTAGTTTCACTGATTCATAACCACAGCTGTTTTTGTAATACAGAAATACAATCTTTTTTTTAAAAAAAGTTATTAAGCATTTTAACTTCCAGTACAATTATATGTTTTTAGACAGTAGCTAAAAGGTTGTAAAAGGCTTGTTTATTTTCAAATAAACAATACTGGGGTCAAAATTGCAGAGTTTTAATTGATTATCTCACCAACATCTAACCTAGAGCCTTTTGCTAGACAGTATCATTTTTCATATATGTATTTGATTCACAAATAAACGTCAGGCCCATCATTTTAAAGTACATTGTAGATAGTAAGTAAATGGCATACTGAGTAAATTTTCAAAGAAGAGTTCCTTACTTACCATTAATATCCTTTAACCCAATCCTAAGAGGCAAGGTCCAAAGGATAATTGCATTTTTTTCTATGGTCTCACTTTTGCTATTATGCTCATGGAAATCCTCAGGACAGGACTTCATCTCAAATGCAATCTAATTTCAGTGCTTTACTAGATTCTCTCAGTCATGAAATAGTACATTTTTCTGATTAAGAATTTTTCTGTCCTTTGAGTAGATACCAAGGAGTGGGATTGCTGGATCATATGGTAGTTCTACTTGTAGATTTTTGAGGAATCTCCAAATTTTTCTCCATGATTCTTAATCGGAAAAGTGCTTGCACATCGATGTTTATTGAGGCACTATTCACAATTGCCAAGACTAGGAACCCACCCAAATGCCTACGAACAGATGAATAGATTGAAAAACTATGGCACATATACTCTGTGGAATATTATTCAGTCATAAAAATTAGAAAACCAGGGCTTTTGACAGAAAGTGGATGCATATGGAAGATTTACTGCTGAGTGAAGCAAGCCAGGCTATGAAGGAGAGGCATTGTATGTCCCCACTTAATATATACTGTGTGATTGCACTCTATGACTGAAAATGATTGACTAAAAGATATAAAAACACAGTAAAGGGATGTATATACAGATAAAGTGTGTGTGTGAAAGAGTAGGGTTTGAGAAAGAACAATGGGGAGGAAAAGCAGTAATGGGACAAAGAAAGGTGCCAATTTCTGTTAAAGATATATTATAGTTTAGTCAACTGGACTAGGGAGAAATGTTCACATGTTAAAATATTCACTTTGTAAGCTAAATAATGTAATTGACTGTATAAAAGAAAATGAAATTAAAAATAAAGAAAAAAATAATAAATTGTTAAACTTGACTTAGAAAAAAAAAGTAGTACAGAACCAGTAACAATTGCCTGTTCGATAAAACAGTTTGAAATAACAAGTATGGGCAATGGTTTCTAGAATAAACCAGGGAGTCAGAACTGCAGAACTGTACTGTAAAGCTGAATCTGTGGTATACAAACACACACAAAAAAGTATTTATGAAACAAGTAGATAATTATTTTCCATGAAAGCAATCTTAAACAAGATTCTAAAGATTCTTTCTGGCTTTTCTAAGATGATCAGACATAACTTATTATAAATTAGCAACTGCCATTTTTTGAGTCCAATGACAGCATGTGCTGGGTACTTTGTTGGCCCGACACTGTATCTTTAAAAAGAGACTAAAAACTTCAAAAGTGAGGACTCTGGACTTTATCATTTTCTGCTTTGGAATCCATTCAAGTTTTTTAATCTGTTAATCAATAATTGGCTTGGGATTCTGTTTTTGTTGTTGTTGTTAGCATTCCAAATAATTATATTGTAGATGACAATATGAAAACACTGAGAATTACTTGTCTAGCAGATGAGAAAGATGGTGATGACAGCAATTAAAAGAACTGCAGTTATTTATTGCTATTAGGTATTGTACTAGGATTCTATTGAGTACTTCACTTTCATGATCTCATTTAATTGTTAGAACAATCATCTTTTAGGTGAGCAATATCTATATTCATAATTATAAATATTGAGCATCCATTCTGCATGTTATTTCTATCTTATTTCATGGTTGGGGAAACTAAGATCCATAGAGATGAAATAACTTGCTAAAAATCACACATCTGATATGTTATTGAGTAAAGAATTAAGCCCATGTCTATATAATTGACCCCAATGACAACATTTTTCTATTCTACCTCTCTCCTGCTAGGAAGTATAAAATACATAATATAGGGGCCAGCAGGTGCCATAGTGGTTAAGGTGCTAGACTCCCACGTGGCTGACCACACTGAGTCTGGGACCTGGTGGCTTGAAACTCACACCAGGCACATGTGAGTGCACGCTCCAGATCCAATGAGGAGAATGGAGGAGAAGGGACTGAGGCATGGCCATCCTTCTTTGGGAGTGATTTCTCACTTATCATCTCTCTGTATCTCTCTTTCTTTCCAGCCAGTGCACACACCCAATAGCAAAAATATCTCTTTCAAAAAAATAGGTAATATATTCAAGAAACTAAATGTCAATTTCTGTACAAATGAAATGCAACTATTTTTAAAAGAAGAGAATGATACAAAAAAATCAACTTTTGTTCCTACAACTGCCTTTACTCCTTATCTTCTTCAATATTTATCTTTTATTGTTCACCACCATAAATCTTATTATAGAAGCTATCAGTAGGGAGAGGAATGAGACTACCTCTAGTCACATTTCAACAAGGTTATATAAGAGATGCCTATTAGTTATTCACAAAGTAGAAACATCATTAATGTCAGATTTAATGGCATTTGTTAGGTAATATCCTGTAGAAAATAGGCACTCAGTAAACGTTGTATGATTAACAAAATAATTATTTAATACCATGTGGATTTGGGCTTGGGGTTGTTTATGCAGAAATTTTATCCAGATGTTTATCCATGAAAAAAGGCATACATTGTATTTACATCTTTGTCTCTTGCTTCTAGCACAGTATCCAGCACAGAGCTAACACTAAGTAAATATTTTCTGAATAAGCCACGCCCCTCAACACAAAATCTTGTAAGAGAGTCCTTGAAAATAATTCAGCTTTTTCATTATATATTTCTTCCTATGTGACAGTCTTGACTAAGTTACCTCATCTCTTATTGACATCCCCCTTGTTTTGTTTAATCTGTAAAGTGGGATAA